CAGAACTTCCTAACATTTTTATGGTACTCAACACGCTCTGCACAACACCATAATGATTTGTTCATTTCTGCATCCACCATAAGAAAGCAAATTCCTTGACAGAAATTACGTCTAGTTTTGTAGTGCCTGGCATAATAAATATTTATTGAATCAACACAAGAATTATCTCAGTTTTGAAGATGCCCACATTTCTAGAGCATCCTCTTTTATAACTGCTGAGATTTTTCTAAAGGGTAGAGATTATTTTCAAGCAATGAATTGAAATCCAAGTCCAAGATTCACCTTTGGATGCTATCTAAGAGGCAGCAATCCACCTAAAATCAAGCCATCATTCCTCTTGAGTCGTGGTACGGAACCGCCTCTAAATTCATCCCTTTAAAACAAATTCCAATAATAGTTATAGTTGAACATTGAGAATGAATAACAATTTGATTAGTAGCAATAGAAGATTTCATAAGCATAGACCAGTGTTTCTCAAATTGGGGTGATAAGAACACTCGGGGTTTGTGGATATATTCTCAGGGATCCCTAAGTTCCACATGAATTGCATAAAACATGTCTTTGACAAAGATAACTTGAAACTGGAAAACATGTTTACATTTCAAATAACTTTCTTAAGTCAGTGTTCCTCAAAACACATATTCTTGAGGATCTCAGAAAATTTTGTTCCTTTAAAAGGTGTTTCATCCTGAAACATTGCTTGAGTTTGAGAAACAGTGGCACAGATCACGTTTTCAAGGTTCAGTACCATTATGTATATTACCCCTAGTCAGCCAATGTCATTAGGCATCGGGGGTGGGGGATGGGGGAGACAAGCTCTAAGGAAATATGGATATGAATTAAAATGGGCAGTAAGAAGCCCAGCTCATTTATATGATTCTTGTTACTCCTGCTAGGATGCATAGATATGCAGCAAAAAGAGTTTCAAATTTTATGTTAAAGAATATTTTTTCAGCTGGACCTTTGTGTTTGTTTTACATCAAGGATGCTAAGCTTCTTTGAAAAAAACACCATTGAAAAAGATGAAGGGAAAGAGGGCATATAAACTACAGCATAAAGTAGGCAAGGAAGGTCAAGGTTTTCTTCTAAAACTTATACTTCTCCACTGCCCTCTTGGTTCCAAACTAAAAAAGTATCTCTGGTCTGGATTATCCATGGCCATCTGTCCTTGGACAGAAATATAGTAAAATGGTGCAAAGAGCCAAAGTATCAGATTTGTACCCCCAAAACTTGAACCTTAAAAGCACAAGCTTATGAAATTTAACAATCACCTATTTGTCAGTTTTGGCACATAGCCAAACACAATGGCTAGGCCCTATCTCTTTAACTTCTTTCCATGTTGCCACAAGAGGTAAAAAACAAATGACATTAAAATAAAACAATTGGACCACCCATGTGGTTGTAATATTAACCATATCTATCTTGGCTCAAAGAGAAAAAATAAACCCACCTCCTTCTTTAAGTTTATCCTATCAATTTCAAACCCTTGTGGGCTCCCTTTTAAAAACTCTATTACCTATAATTCAGCACAAGACTGCACCTGATTATCATTTCCTAAGGTTATTTTAAGTGTGCTTATATTATAATATCTCTTCAACAATACAACCTTCTCAGGGGTGAAATTATATAGGATGATATCATTCCTACCCCTCACTTCACTGTAACCTAGCATAGGGCTTGGTACCCGGTATTAATTCTATAGTTCCGTTTGTGAACCCGTGAATTTCAGATGAGGTGGGAAGGGAGAAAGAGACTTACTGGACCCTCTGACTTTCCTATGGGTGGCAGTTAAGAGAAAGAAAACAGAACGGGGAAAAGATTACTTAATAACTACAAAGTAGTACTTACAGTATTCTATAGAGCCAGAGACTCTTCTTACAGCAGTCCAAGGAGCTAGTAGTGGAAACTGCACCCTGAGCTGGGCCAATCTTTTGACATCCTTCTCAGAGAAATGGTATCCCTTTCAAGCAATTAAAAAGAACTGCTGTTGCGTTGACTAGTTATTTGCTTCAGCAATTCCATATTAAATGCTCCTTTGCCATAAACACCCTGTACACTAGAGGCTGGGATATTAATTCATTTTTACTACGCAGCTATCTCTCACTGTGGAAATATAAATTGTTAGATCTTAGGTCATTTTTCTTATAAAATGGGCAAACTGATTTCATCATTTCTCAGATAAGTACTCACTTCAGGGTGGTGTTTCAAACTACTTCAAATTAATAGCATAATTAAATGGTTCATTTTATATAATAGATTAATCAAACAAGGTGACCTATGCTTCTTAAAAGCGCCTCTGCATATATTCTCTCCCTTAATCCTTTTACAGCATTCTTCTTGAAATAAGTAGAGGCTGGTGCTCCAGATGAAGAAATTTAAGGATTAGAAAGTGTAGGTCATTTTTCTTAAAGTGAATGGTGTTAAAGCTCAAACAAGGATTGCTTCTAAAATGGTGGTACAGCCCAAACAAAGATACTAGTCTGAAGAGTTCCATTCTGGAACTCCTTTGATAATATTAAAATAGCAAGAGTGACTGTGGTCTACCTACAGACCCACCACCCTCAGTAAATGAGATACACTAGTCATCAGCTACATAACATAAATGGATGTGGGGGGGTTAAAAAAAATGACCAGGTTATCAATTCCACCTTGCGATCTAGATGTCTTTCGTAAAAGATAAAAAAATCAAGAGCAACTTTTCTGGTTGTATCCTAGCAACTGGCACTATACAATAGCAATATACAAAGGAGACAAGGAGAGATTTTTAACCAGGCAATCTCCTCTTGAAGGAAGAATGCAGAAAAAGTGCTAACCTTCCTTGCTGGGGAGACAATTTCATACTGTATATTAAAAACATAAAATAAAGGGTAGCAACCCAGCTTCCTGGGCCTGACTTGCCTTGAGTATTTTGCATAGCAAAGCAGTAACAGAGGTGGGCAAGAATAGTTCCTGTCCCCGGAATCTGACAATAATTTAAATTGAGATCATTAACAAATGAAAGCAAAAGAGTTAAGGTTCATCCACCTAGTTCAGGCCTGCTTTTGATAGTCAATACTGCACAAAGACACCAAAGTGGTAGGGAGACATTGGACTGATGGGCTTAAAAATGGGACAATTAGTATTCTGTTCATTAAATAACACAGAGAGAGCTTTGGGTAGTCAGCACTACTCAGAAGCAGTGCAAAGGAAATAGAGGAGTTCATAATGGGCAGGACGAAGGAAAGTGCAATTGAGACATTACAGCTATACAAGGTGGGTAAACCAATGATGTCTGGGATTGTTAACTTTTTAAGTGCAAGAAAAAGGGCTTTGTTCAGTCAACATTACCCAGCAAAGAGGCCAAAGGGACAGGGCCAGGAAGAAGTGGAGAGAGAGGGAGCACAATCTTATCTAATGGCTGGATATATGGACAACTGAGACTGTGAGTATTAATAGCCCATAACAAGGGGCCAAGGGCAGACAGGGGCAGGGAAAGGGAAGACCTTGTATGAAGGGTGAGACCATGGCTACCTAGGATTTTATACACTGGAGTAATGCGAAAGGAGTGGGAGTATGGGCGGTTATTGAATGGACAAGTGCATGGCACACTGCAATGTTTATACTTTATTATGCCACGGGAAACTGGGGCTGAGGGATGCTTGCTCCACAAGGCCAGGGAGGAAAAAAACCATCGATAATTGCCATTGCGCCTATTAATAGTCCCAGGAAAGTTTTAGGAAAGGAAGAAATCACTGATAACTGCCATTGTGTCTATTAACAGTCCCAGGAGAAGTTTTAGGTAGGAAGCAGCCCCTGCGGTAATGCGAAGGGGGTGAGAGGGTATAATATCCCAGTTTAACAGAAAGGGGCATGTATAATTGCAAATATTCACATTACCAGTCCAAGAGGCCTTAGTTGGTCAGTACCCATGATATATGCAAAGAGGATGCCAGGGCTCTATCCAATGATCAGTACTCTTGCTAACTGTCATTGTTGCATATTAATTGTCCATGAGCTGAGGTTATGAATAATTAGCACTCCTTAGCAGCAATCAAAAAGGCAGTGGCAGGAGCACAGCGTCCTTTTGTACTATACAGGTCCACAGACAAATATAATTATGCACATTAATATTCAAAAGAGAAGGGATCATTCATAGTTAACATGCCCCTAACCCAAAGGGGCTATGAGGAGATAAAATCCTGGTCCAAAAGAAGAGATGGGGAATTGCATTAATGCACTTTAAAGTCCAAAAGGGGCACTAGGTGAACAACATCCCCTGCTCTAAAGCAAGGAGGATACAGGAAGGGTTCTGGTGTAAGACATGCTTAGAAAATTGTGTTTGCTCACGTGAACTTTCCAGGTGAAAGAGTCTCGAGTAGTGGGCACTACCTACTGAAAATGTTAAGAAAGTAGGCGGGCTCCTTATCTAGTGCACAAAACAGGAGCTAATACAATTGCGCATATTAACAGTCCCAAAGAATAGGGCCTTGGTTGATCAGCACACCCTGCTGTACTGCAAAGGAAAGGCTAGGGTGTGTGACCTTAGTCTACTGATGAAGACGACAGAAAATTTCAATTATGTGTGAAAACAGTCCACTACAAGGGGCCTTGGAGGAAAACAGTATCCCTCGCAGTAATGCAAAGGAGGTACCATGGTCCTGAAAGTTACAGGGTTGTGAACAACTGCAATTATGCACAATAACTGTTCAAATGTAAAGGTCCTGGGGTCCTGAAGTGCAGCCTTTTGACTGAATTCAAATTTTACAGAACAAACCCTTTTATTAAAAGGGGTGCAGAGAAAGATGAAGCTTTTCTTGCCTCCTTTGGTGCTTAAAAAAGAACAATCCTGAAACCAGAAGGCCGCACATTCCCCACCCAGGCGAGGCAGTCAGAGGTGGAATGTCCTTGTCCAGTGCACAAGATCCCAGGCAAATGCAATTATGCACATTAACAGCCCAAGAAAAGGGGATTTAGGGGTCAGCACCTCTGGTAAACTGCAAATGGAGGGAAAGAGGATAGGATTTTGGTTAAACAGGATGAACCACATCACAATTAATGTCCAAGGGACATGGTGGTGGTCATCAAAACCACATACTTTG